TGGCTCTGATACCAAACTGTAACGCCCCACTTTATTTTAAAATATTAATCGAATTTATTTAATAAAAATCAGAGTAAATTTTTCGCAAATCTCGTTTAAGTTTAAAATCCAATGGGCGCTACTTATTTTACCAAGAGAAATTTATCCAAAATAATCAGAATGAACCTGCACATTTATCAAGATCCAAAAATAATAAAATAAAAGTACAATCCAAGAGTTCAATCCGTTCAACACTTTTCCAAAGTCAAACCAGTTCAAACATAACCCAATAAACCATAATGAGTTTATAAAAGCGAAAGCAAATTTAATAAACATAAATAACAGGCAAGACCACCCACTCGCCTTGCCTCGTCACCCGCCAACTGCTTAACCTGCATCCGTGAAGAGCAGGTGGGAGTGAGTACAGTTAAATATCGTACTCACACTATGCATATGAATAACATAATAATAGTATGGTCGCAGCATGAACATAAACAATAATCACAACACGTCTCATCTCCTAATCAATATCACACCATTTAACCTTACTCCTGTGCACATCTATCGCTAGCCGCAGAACGGGGATTCATTACCCGAAGGCGGGAGTACGTGCCACTGTAACGGACACGGCCTTCCATATGGGCTTACGTACCTCACAAGGGCACGGCCATATCAGGACTTAAAGGAGATTGCCACACAAGGGCACCGTACCGTAACTCGACGGGGACAACCGTACCGACGGCCGTAACAGCTCACATCGATAGGCTACATGTTCACATGCATACATAGATCATACCAAATTTTCCACACAATTAAATCACACATATGCATAGATAATTTTAGAATAACAACCCACCTGGATTCGGACTGATGACAGTAATTCAGAATAGTCGTAGGTTGAGGCTTGACTCCTCAAACACCTACATTATGTCAAGATCCTACAATCAATATCGTGACTAAATCGGAAAACACAAAACAGACCTAGTCGAACTTGTTTCGACTAAGTAGTTCGTGAAGTCCTGTGGATGTTGGAACACTAAGACTCGGCACTAAACTCGACCAAACCACATATGGGAGTTCACATAAATCCATCTAAGGATTGACCAAGTCAAACTCACATCAAAACGAAAAGCAAGTCGATTCCCAACTTTCATAAAAATCATGTTCGGAAATAGAAATCATTTAATCGCATGAAAATAGATGGTCAAGCTACCCTACGAATTAAGCTCTGAAAATTTACCCAAAATTTCATCTTCCAGCAACATGTAAAACCACAAAGTTTCAGCTTTAAACTCAAAATACCCTATTTTATAAAATTCGAACAGTATATCAGCAAAATGGGCACATTAATTCATACTCGGACTTAATGACCGAATCTGAACCTGAAAATTTTACACAACCACATACAGCATGCTAAAGTCCACTTATAAAAATTTCAGCCTTAAATGATAACTGCTGCTATTTTTAAAAATTCAAACGAGCAACAGCAGTTTATCGAATTTAAACCCAAACTGAAACAAAACAGACTCTAAAAATTCTCATCTTTTACAAACATGATCAAACACCTAAAATATGACTCTCAGTATAATTTCAGAATTTTCCATGCAGTAACCGATTTTTAAAAATTCAAACAACACTTCTGCAGAATCAATAAATAAAATATTATCCATATCAAATCAACTCCAAAAATTCTGAAAATTTAACACAACACATATAAGACACAGAGGCATGACATATTCGAATTTCAGCTCATTTCAGTCAGGAATGAATTTATTATGCATTTAACAATATTCTGGACAGAATACAAATTAATTATTAAAAATAGCTACAGGCCTCCAAAAATTATGAAAATTTTACACAAGGCAGAATATGAACAGATAACACATCCCTCAAAATTTCACATCGTTTCGAGCAGCGAGCTATTTTTAAAAATTCGAACATCAAAACAGCGATTAACAAGCTCGACAACTTGACAATTAAATCACAACACACAATTTATCGTCCGAGGCCTTTTCATAAGACCAAGGGCTCGACATTGTTCCAATATCCACCGACTTACACGACTTTCGAGGTCTCGTTCAATTTCTCATAATTGAAGAGATCCTCGAACACTTAGACGACACACATAAAATCACAATTATCACATAGCTCATATCGAACACATTATCGCACAAATAATCACATCTCGCATATCAAATCGCAAATCACACATATTCATAAATAACATAAACGATTTAAACGAGACGGAATCGACTAGGTACCGTTATCGAGAATTCGAAAAACGGAATGGAAAGACGAGGCGAGCTAGCGGCAAGCTCGACGGCAAGCGTCGTCTCGCGAAGGAGACAACGGCTGAGAAGGGGGTTGCTGCTGCTAGGTCGCCGCCAGAGTTCACTGCTCGTACGGAGGGAACGAACGGCAAACGCACGGTGGCTCGGGAGGTGCTGCGCAGCGTTTCTCGGGCTCGACGGCAGACGCTCGTCTCGCGATGGCGAAGCAAGCGGACAACGGAGCAATGGTCGAGCACGGTGACTCGCTGCTGGTTCACAGTGGTGTTGAACGGTGGTCGAGGGGCAGCGACGTTGGGAGGACTGGTCGCGGCGGAGTTGCAGGCGGTGGTCGCTCGCCGGAGAACAGGGCCTACTCGCGGTGGCAGGGATCGTCGTGAAGGTGGTCGCCGGCTGCTGGTGCACGGGACCTGCGCGACGGAGGTGCTGTGCGGAGGGGAGAACTCGCCGGAATTCGCGAACAGAGACCACGAAGGGTTGCTCACGGCGCGGCAGGGCTTCTGGGGTGGCGTCACGACCAGGCGGCGTCTGCTCTGGTTCGCGGCGAGGAGGAGCTTGCCGGACTGGTTCGCGAAGTAGAGAGCTCGCCGGAGATGTAGGCGCGCGGAGGAGCGACGGTGGTCGGAGTTGCGGGCTCGTCAGGCCTGCACGGATTGCGCCGATGGTTGCACGATGAGGAGAGAGGAAAACGATGATGGCGTTGGTGAGGAGATGGGGTAGTGATGACGGAAAAATTTTGCAGAGGAGGATCGACGATGAAGGTCACGATCGATTTTTCTGAGATTTGGGCGAGAAGGAAAAAGGCTGCAGGGTTATGTTTGATGTCGAGAGAAGTGAGGGGAAAATCAGCTTTAGGAGTTGTGATTAAGGGTTCAATGTGGGCCAAGAGTCTTTAACCTATTTGGGTCCAATTATACAATAAAGTGGGCCGGTATTAATTAAACTGATGGGCCGAGGATAAGGGCTTTAACGGGTCAAAAATACTTGAACAAAATGCCGAATTATTTAGCTCTTATGGGCCGAAAATAATAAGGCTCGATTTTGGGTTCTCGGGCTCGATTTATTCCGACAATAAAACTAGCTCAATTGATCGCACGACAATTAAAATAAAATTCGGATAATATTTATATATATAATACACACAGTAATATAATAATAATAATAATTATAATAATAATAATAATAATAATAATAATAATAATAATAATAATAATAATAATAATAATAATAATAATAATAATAATAATAATAATAATAATAATAATAATAATAATAATAATAATAATAATAATAATAATAATAATAATAATAATAATAATAATAATAATAATAATAATAATAATAATAATAATAATAATAATAATAATAATAATAATAATAATAATAATAATAATAATAATAATAATAATAATAATAATAATAATAATAATAATAATAATAATAATAATAATAATAATAATAATAATAATAATAATAATAATAATAATAATAATAATAATAATAATAATAATAATAATAATAATAATAATAATAATAATAATAATAATAATAATAATAATAATAATAATAATAATAATAATAATAATAATAATAATAATAATAATAATAATAATAATAATAATAATAATAATAAGAAACATTTAGGCATTTAAAGATAATTAGGCATCTAATAATAATAATAATAATAATAATAATAATAATAACAACAATAATAATAAATAATTCAAAAATAAACGGGGCGCTACATTCTCCAAAGTAGCCCAAAGCTCTTTGCCAGAGCCAACTGAGCTGTACACATTGTACAACTCGTTACTAAGTCCGTTCAGGACATAGTTACGGCAAAGGTAATCACCTTGCCCCCAAGCTTCGTATGCAGTGCGTAGTTTAGTATTAGTCTCATTTTCAGCAATAACCGGGGGGTCGTCCTTCAGGTATTTAACCAAACCCAAAGTGGTCTGGTAAAAATGCATCTTTTGTTGCCACATTTTAAAATCAAGCCCATTAAATTTTTCGGGCTTCTCAGCAGTAGGGACATGGACAGTAGGTACATGATTGATCGGATGCTGAGTGTTGAAACCATTTCCGGTGGAAGCCATCAGTCCAATAGGTTGAGATATTCTTCTTGCGATTGTTATTCCGGATGTAAAAATTACACGAGAATCCAACGAAATGATATGTATTTTCAGTTCTTACAAATAATCTAATAAATAGAAAATTACAATTGAATTGAAAAATTAAATTACAACTGAAAAATAAATTAAAACTTAAAAACAAAACAAAAAGATTAAAGCCGAGGCGAGTAAAACTCTTTCCACAAGAAGAATACGTCCCGTGTGGCAGTTAACGGTTCAGGCGTAACTTCCCCAAAGATACAACGGCTAACGTCTCTAAATCTGTAGCACACCAGATTTACGAGCTTCGACGAACTAGATCGGAGTCGAGAATTGAGCACTTCAAAAATAAAAATAAAATTATCTATATGATAATTTTTTTTTCTCACTAATATTTTTTTTTATTTTCTTCTCACTTTTCCTTTTCTTCTTTTCCTTATCTTCTTTACCGTATTTTTCTCTTCTCTTTTGTGTCTTTCTCAACTTCAACAAATGAGAGTATATATAGGAAAAATTGTTGTTGATGTTGGTTGTAATTTATTGGAATTGTTTGGAAATATAGTGTGAAGATGGTTGGGAGGTTGGGAATTCTTCAAGAGTTTGATAATTGGTTTAGAAAATAATGTGGTGGTTGTCCAAATTAATTGTACACTCACATTTTACTAACACTCGCCACAAGCCACATCCCACACACACCGACGACTACCGCCCCAATCGAGATCCGACGACTACCGTCCCAATCGAGATCAGGCCAGCCCCAGTCGATGGAGCCCTTCGATTCCAACACCAGAAAACGGCGGACCCACACATGGACTTGCAGCGGGACACCAAACAACTGCCAAAGCAGCTCTCAAAACCGGCGGCGGAGGAGGAACCCGCGGCTAGCCGGACACCACCATCCCACAGCCATGGCCACCGCGACTCATGGAGAAACACCACACCTGAAGACGGCCTAGCAGGACGCCATCCCTACTCCACCGACCCGAATCAGGTAGCAGATGTCGAAAATCCCCCGGCAGGAGGGCCCTACAGAAGGAAATTGACGCCGACCAAACTTTGGTAAAGGGGACCTGGTATTTTCGCCGCAACAGGAGAGAGAAGAGACAACGATATACATATAGAGATTAAAAGCACATAATATATTATATAACATATGCAAATCTTATTCTCATTATATTTACTTTTTGCAAACATATTGCAAACGGGAACGAAAGATTCAAAAGGATATATACTAAGGGGTGTATTTAATTAGAATTTTTAAGGACTTTTTAAGATTTTAGAAATCTTAGTGTATTCAATTTAGATTTGTTAAGATTTTTTAAAACTTTTAAAAATCCTGGAGTATTCAATTGGGATTTTCAAAAGTCTTACAAAATCTGAGGTATTTAATTTTTTTGACACTAGGATTTATTAAGACTTTTTAAGATTTTGTGGGATTTCTAAACAAAAAACCTTATATGAAATCCCACTTATCCCACTTAAAATCCTACCTTCGGACTTGAGATTTCATGGAATTCTTCCAAAATCTGAAAATCCTAGAAAGTCTCAAATCTCGAAAAGTCTTAAAATGTCACTTAAATTCCGAATTGAATACACCCCCTAAAATTATGTAAATATTCCTATGAAATTGCATATGAATCCAATTTGTGTAGGATCCCTTCTTACTGGTATATATTGATATGTATCATAGAGATTTGTACAAAGTAGAATATATTTTTTTTTCTGAAACGACAGAGATATTATATTAATAAAAACCGCACAAAGTGCGAAGAGAAAACAGTCAAAGGCTGAATAGTACAATCAGAGACTGAAAAGACTGGGAGGAGGCAGATACGAAGATCGCCTACAGCTTGCTAGCAACGCTAGAAAGACAAACTCGCCTCTACACGAAAGCACCTAACACAAACAAAACTAAAACAACTACAAAGATCCCAACAGGATAATGCCCAAGTGTAGGATCCCAACAAGATAATAAGGTTACACCCGGGCTCACAGAGACCAAAAGACCCAAACAAAAAATACAAGACCAAAGACAACACTAACACAGACTCAAACAAACGAAAACAAGTAACTATAATACGATATATAATGTTCTTCCCCAGCCAACTAACGAGCCCAAGCCAGCAGAGAAACAATCGACCCAAGAAGATCCCAAGCTCGAGGAGCTGCTACCGAAACTGCGACACCGCCTATGCAGAAGCCGAAGCCGAGCCCCGAACCCATCTCAAATCGACCCCCTCCAACCGAGAGAACCAAACCAGCTCCCCACTCCAGCACTACCCGACCTCGTCTAACACCACTAGCCGAGCTCGGAGGCGCCAGACCCACCCAGTCCCCAACACCAGAGAACCGTAGGTAATGAGAGCTGCCTGTTCCTACAACACTGGCAACCCCGACGGAGGACGCCTCAGCCGCCGGAGTCCCGACCCGTCCGCTGACCCACTCACCACCCAAGTCCACCGAAGAATACCGACAACCATCGACCAAACCCCACCGGACCCCCCACCTGAGAAGCAGAGCAGTCCGAGGGGGACTTCTAACACAAGAAACGTTGAGAGAAGGGCTTACCTCCGCCAAACGACGAGCCACTGGTGTCCGAGAGGGGACCTCCAACCACCGTCAGCTCGCCGATCAAGGAAATGCCACCTCCAATCGCAGATCCACCGGCCATCAACGGGCAAGCCACACAGAAAACTACGGCAACACGGATAGCGAGGCATCTGAGACGGGCTGAGCGATCAAAGGCGACCGCTGGCCAGGGCATCGCCATCGCCGAGGAAGGCGAATCGGCGACGAAAGAGGAGCAACAGGTGGTTTAGGGTTTCTGAGCGAGGAATTTGGGCGAGGAGAGGAGAATCAAAGTAGAATATTGATTTTCCCAAATTATATATCCGTATGTATGGAAGAGTCATGTACAAAGTAGGATGTTGATTTTTCCTAAATTATTTAGATGATTGTTTCATATTGATCCAAAATTTCACGATTTCAAATGTTTTTTTTATTTTTATATGTAAAAAAATGAAACATGAAATTATTTCATATTAAATACTTCAATAAAAACATATCTGTTAGTTGCCATTTTTTATTTTTGTGTTTTAAAAGTAGCACATATTTTCGTTTCATTAGTAGAAATAGAAAACAAAAAAAATTATTCCATTTAAAAACCTTTCAAAAAAATAATCCATTTATATTAATGTTTTGATATTTTATATGTTTAAATGGGTGCATATTTTATATTTGACACATAAAATAGGAAATAAAAATTTATTATATTTTAAATATTTCGTTCAAAATTGTAAGAAAAATTGGACCCGTAAAATACAGAATTGAATCAAAAACCAACACGTATACATCGCCCCTATATATAATTTCAGAATGTGCTGAGCTTACATGACAGGCTCGCACGCTTCATAATCTGATTTGGCACAATATCATGCTTCGTATGGAGGTTCGGATATAAGTATAACACATAGTTGTATTAACAATGCTAGGTTCGAAAATAACCATCAATAACTTTAAAATACTCAAATATAACTTCACTCTCCATGTCTCTCCAACATCCTATTTCCTTAATTACTATCTATATTTCTCAAGTTTCCCGACTGTGAAGGAAAATTTGCTCGACAATTGAGTCTGAAATTCCTCACAAAATATTTATCCAATTCATTCATTGTCGTATTTTTCTTTTTAAGTATTTGCATTTGGACGATATTATTTATTTCATTTGAGAAATTAATGTCCTATATGATAATCATACACCATATCTCAATATTTTGAAAATTGTAGATAAAATTTAAGAACGAAAAAGACACCAAATTGACCTATCTTCAACAGAAAAAGAATCGACCAGCCCCCACACCAGACCACCTGAACCCGTCTAACACCACTAGTCGAGCTTAGGTTCCCCCGCCTCCTAACACCACTAGCCGAACAGGGGAAGGTGAAGGTGGTGCTGCCCCTCAACCCCGTCCACCACAACTGAAAAAGCCGCAGCAGCTGGAGCCCCACCCATCCGAGGACTCACACTCTGCCCAACACCACCACAAAGGTCTGACAACCAGACGCCCAGGCACCATCAAAAGAGGCGGGGCCTCGCCGAAAGAGGCAGAATCCAAGAATTATCGACAAAGCGAAGTTGGAGGGGCTTACCGTCACAAATCGAAGCTCCACCGATGACTGAGGAGAAGACTCCCGTCGCCAGCCAAACACCGACCCTGAAGGAGGCCACCATCGACCGGAACGCCGTCAGTAACCTAGAACCAGACCGCCAATCGCGGCCCTTCCACAGCGACATCAGAGGCGCGTTTCGTCCGGGGGGGTTGAGCGGTCAAGGACGACCCCTGGCCAGAGGCCCGTCGTCGGCGAAGAAGGCAAATCGACCGTGAATTTAAGATGAGATGCCGACGATATTTGAGGGTGGGGTACCGCGAGAGAGAAGAGAGTCTTTTAATTTTAAACTAATTACATTTATCTCTATAAAAAAAATTGAATTTATTTTTCAAACCATATTAAAAATACATTATTCTATAATAATATATATATATAGATTATATTACCATAAAAATAATAATTAGTTTTTATAATAAAAAAAATATGCATATATTAATTATAAACATAGAACGAATATGAATAAATTATTAAACTTATATCACCATTTAAATAAAGTATAAAAATGATTGAACATTATTATGACGTTGAAAATAAAAAATATAAGTAAATATTAAATTTGAATGTAATAATAAAATATTATTCATAACTCATAAAGTCATAAAATGTTATGTTAATGAATATTAATTTATATTTTTATTAATTGAATATTATTAACTGGAAGATACAATAAACAAGATAAATAAAACATAATTTATTATGTTATTATTTTAATATTTTATACAATATTTAAAAATATATTTATAAACAAGCATAGAACTCATATTTATTAAAATTTATCCAATTGATTTTTAGGAAATAAAATTCAAATTAATGGAGTTGTAAATAACATTTGTGTTAGACATATATAAGTTTATAAAGGTAATTAGAGTGATTATTATTTTTGTCAATTTGAGAGTAAAAAATGCATGTCATTATAGATAATTATTATGAAATTAGTTATTCATTATTTATTGTACATTTCTTTTGATGATTTCAGAATAGAAAAATAAATACTTATATATATATGTATATATTCATTTTTTATTATAATGTTCTTTATTTCAAACACCCGTGTATAGTATACGGGTGTCGTATTAGTGAGAATTAATTTCAGAATTCAATTAATTAAAAATGGTAAATAAAAATCAAGACCTTAAAATATGGAAACAGAATCTGAAACAACCAAATATCAGTAGACCAAAAATCAAACACTTTTACATTTTGAATTAAACAGTTTTGCTATGGAGCCATCGAATGGCTCGACTTATGGAGCCATCTACACTTATTCACCAATAGTGTATTGACACGTGTCCTGCAATAAATACACTTTGGACATGTGTCAATACATTAAGTGGTGGATGGCTCCGTAAGAAAACCATCCGATGGCTCCATAGAATTTTTGTTGAATTAAATTCAGAATTTCTACTTCATCTACATTGTAAATAAGAATCGGATCCTAGAAATATGGAAACAGGGCGTCATCAATACTTTCTCTCACTACCGCAGAAAATCCCCTTTCTCCTCTCTGTAACCCTAGCTTTCGGCGCCGGCGATTTGTGCTCTCTCAGCGTCCATCCAACTAGCTAGTGGACGGCTCTTCGCCGCGCGTCCACGCTTCTATTCGCGGAACTTCCACCCATCGTATCTCTGGTCGGGGGCGAGGAAGGAGGTCTTCGGCAGATCTCGCCGATCTATGCTGGAAGGCTGTCGGAGCTTCTTGGTGGCGAGGCGAGGTGGAGTGCGGCCACATAGGAGGGACGCGGCTCACTGCTTGCATCGTTCTTGTCCAGATGTCTCTCTCTCTCTCAGCTTTTGCCGACGAATTCATCACCAGTTCTGCGGGTTTACAGGTATAAATTCCGGCTCTATGTTCGTCGGAGCTCTGGTGTGGCAGCGAGTGGGCTGAGGTTCGTCATCGGGCCTGGGTGAGGAGCTCGGGTTTGGGCTTTGTCTGGGGCGCCTCTTCTCGCTGGGCTTGGAGGACAGCCAGGTTGCGGCTCTTAGATTTCTGCCGGAGTCGGGTCACTGGCACCTCGGATGTGTAGGAGTGTAGGGTCCGGGTTCGTCCTTGCGGGCTGGGTGGATTGGTGGTCGTTTCGGGCTGGGTTCGTCCCTTCGGGCTTGGGCGACACGGCTGAGCGTTGACGCTATTCGTCCCCTTCCTCTCCTTTCTCTGTTTCAGAGTTCGTGGGAGGCCGACCATTTTCGGAGTTGGCTAGTGGTGATAGGCAATTTCAGGGCGGTGCCGGATTGGCTAGTGGTGTTAGCCGGTTGGGGGTCGATTGTGGTTTCTTGCGGTTGATGTGCGGGTCGGTTTCTCGGATTGTTTTGAGGCTTGGGTCATCGTCTTGCTCGGCCTTATGCAGTGGCGAGCGTGGTATCAGAGCTTTGGAGCTCTCCTCGGAATTGGCTTTGTCTGCTGTTATTTTCGGGTGTATCTGCTTAGGGAGGCTTTGTGTTTTTTAGTTTGTAGTTTTTATTATTTGTATGTTTCGTTTGTTTATTCTTGTTTTGTGCTGTCTGTGTTTTAGGTTTCGGCCGTTGGCCTCAGTTTGCCCGAGTGTGACTTTATTATCCTGTTGGGACCGTACACTCGAGTATTATCCTGTTGGGGTTGTTTGTAGTTTTTTAGTGTTTCAGTGTCGTTGTGTTATTTTGAGTTTTTAGATTACCCTGTTGGGGTCGGTTCTAGGCAGTCTTTAGGCTGTCCTCCCAGTTTTTCAGCTGTTGGCTGGTTGTATTCAGCCGTTGGCTGTATGTATTCAGCTAGGGGTTGTACTTTTGCACGTTTGTGCTTTTTATATATAATATCTCTATCGTTTCGGAAAAAAAAAAAAAAATATGAAAACAGAATCCGTAATCAATTTACAAAAATCAAACACGTTTACATTTGCCAAATTTGAGTATTTCCTTTATTAGGAAGTCAAACAATATTGACCAAAAAACAAACTTTCTAAATGAAAAAATCCAACAACCTCTTTCAATTATGATAGATATATGCAACCACTTTCTTTTACACGCGGTTCCATTAAAATACTAATTTTTCTTTCCAGTACTCACGAAATTATATGCGATATAAAAGCGCATATCTAAATGAACCTCATAATTAACAATTATACGAGATTTTTTTGTATTTATGCTAATGCATATACATATCAGATGCATAGTTAACTATTATACGAAACACCTTCCCATATTTGTCTATCGCCTATCTAAACCACCACATAATTTTTGTTATGCGAATTTATTTCACCTATATAATTATCGCATATCCAAATTGGTAGCCGCATATTACGATTATGCGGCAAACTTTCGCATATTTTATGTCTTACATATCCAAATCGAGTGCATAGTTAACAAGTATGCAAAACACTTACGCATATTATGTAATCGCGTAATCAAATCGAACTTTGCATATTTTATGATTACGCGAGATATTTTCGAATAGTGTATGACTCGCATATCCAAACCCACCATATATTTTACCATATGCGCGCATATTCTATTATCGCATACCCAAATCGAACGTTGCATATTTTATATTATGCGAGATATTTTTGCATAGTTCACAAATTGCATATCCGAATCCACCACATAATTTACCATATGTAATAACTTTCCGCATATTCTTATTTTGCATATCAAATGAATGTCACATATTTTAAGATTATGCGACATATTTTAGCATAGTTTACGACTTGCGATCCAAATCCACCAAATAATTTACCTTATGCGAGAACTTTTCACACATTCTGTTGTCGTATATCTAAATCCAACGTCACATATTTTATGTTATGCGACATATTTTTGCAAAGTTCAGAAATCGCATACCCAAATCCACAGCATAATTTACCATATGCGATAACTTTCTGCCTATCCTTTTATCGCATATCTAAATTGTAAGCATCCTCTACTTATCTTTAGGAAAATAATAATTTTTCTAGAATAAACTCGAACCTTATCGAAAACATTTTAACTTTTAAAAACTTTTCTTAGGGTACTTAGTTAAAAACTCTTTCTTGTCTTTGCTTTCTAAAATACTTTCTTTTCTTTTTCCCTTAATAAGCTTCACACTTAGATTCTTTCAGGAAATCTTGTCGAGACTTATAACTTGCTTCTCTAAATCAAGACTTACTCAAAACATTCAAACACTTAGTCTCGATAATCATAAATCAAACTCAGTCTCAACATGAAAACTAAAACATATAAAGAGTTTGATAACTGTTCTGTGAAATCATAAATAATTAATAACATCAACTGACCACCATCGCCCCTCGTGTCTGCTGCCAGCTGCTTAACATGAAAAAGATAGTTGTGGGGGGTGAGCAAAACAACTAGCTCATCGTGGGATTCATACTATACGATTATTCAATGTAAACACAGATATAATATTTTATGCATGAAATATGTAAAACTAGTCTCATCTAGTTGCCCTTCACAGACATCATATAACAGCTAGCCTGACATCTATATATATAATAAGAATAACTATTTACTAAAAATAGTAGTAAAAACTTTGGGAGCATTTAATGCATACCTTTTTTTGAAAACTTTATATATATATATATATATATATATATATATATATATATATATGTGTGTGTGTGTGTGTGTGTGTGTGTGTGTGTGTATTAATTGCTTCTATATACATGTTTTGAAATAAGATCAAATCATATATGATCAAAAATATTGTTTATGTAGCGCCCCATTCGATTATTAGAATTTTTCGGATTTTATATAATTATTTATTTGCTTATAATTTATTAATTGCCTTTGTCTTATTTAATTGCTCGTTTATTTTATTAACTCCTCGTCTCGGTTTGTCTTATTTATTTGCTTATATATTGAATCGCTATGTGAATATATTGTGATTATTTATTTGCTTATTATTTGATCATGTCCTTGTTTTATTTGAATTACTCGGTTATTGTTATTAATTGCTTCTCTTTACCTGTTTATTTAATAACTATATTATTAACTAGTACGAATCACGTGCGATGCACGGGTAAGAGTGAACACAGTGATATAGAAGAACTACTGCGACCTCATTTGCATCCGCTCGACATCCACTGCATGAAAAAGAAAAAAAATAAAAATAAACGTTAAGTTCGACTATGTTGTACGGCTGAATGTGTACATCATTCTCTAATCGAATACTTCCACATAAACATGTATCTTTTTGAAAAAACAGAAAAGAAAATAAATAGTTGTAAAATAGGGGAATTGATATGCACAACAACTTAAGAATATAGTGTGTAATTAATTCTTGTATCTGTATTCTCTACCATGTTCTTCATCTTATGCATGACTTTGCCAAACTTAGCTACCCTCTATCTACCTAAAAATGTATAAATTTAGCCTATTTATTAAAATATTCAAACTTTGGTTGATTCCATTCAGTGATTCCAGCTTGAGCAATTGATCTTTGCACCCTAATGACACTCAATGTTGGTGGATCTTGATGATGCCAGTAGATATTCCATATGGCTCCTGAAAATGCCGTTTCTATGTTGTAGAAATTAAATAAATGAACATCCTAAATAATTGGTTTTTATTGAGAATTATTATTCATTACTACATAACCCTATCGAACCAAAACCTAATCTGTGAGCCATCAGAACATGACACTAACTCAAAATTTTAGTGCAATCATTTTTCATATTGGTCATATATAGATTTTGAATATTTAATGAATAGTTTCAGAATTAGCCAAAAGCTCTAATGCAGTGGTGCCTCTTCAGAGTATTTATCATCTTCTCATAGGCAAAACTGTTCTATTGATGTCACACATCATACAATGAGGAAGTACATTTGCAAAAAAGTAGATTCTACACAACAGCAAGAAATACTAACAAATATAATTTTAAGAGAATAAAAGACCTATTTCCATGACAAAATATAACATAAGGAAGAGGAGAGTTGTCCAGGAGCTGCAAAGGAATGCAATGGCTACACTTCAAGGCATGACCTCTTTCATTTCTATACTGAAAATGATTAAAGAGACAAACTCTCAAAACTTCATATGATAAATAGTTTCAGAAATGTACATAAAGATATATTGCATTAGTTCAATGTTAGAGCCTGGTATTTCTAAATTGGCACAAAAAAATTGTAGTGATGATCACTATACTCCATAATAACTCTGCATAATCACAATTCACACAATTGTCAATAAGAAAACAATAGGCCTAACAGAAACTATAATAAGGTCGAAAGAAAAAAAAATATGCGGACATCAATTGTCCACAACAGGACAATTTCTTTCCAAATCCAATATTCTAATTTTGTCACAATGTCAGCTACAAACACTACCAAATCACTAAAACCCATAAAATAACGTTGGAATGCTGCCTTCTCATCGCGCTTGAGAGTCGAGCGCTCCGCCAACGGCAAAGATGAGTAGATCCCGCGTCTATCTCAACAAATTAGCAGGAGTCTTGTTAATTGTCTCATTTCCCAAAATTTTCCACCCTTTTATCTGTAAATAATGTAGATAGTAAGCAAAAGTTTTACAGTATAATACCTTCTCATTAGTCACCCATGATCAACGCCCCGACCAGCCACCACCTTCCTCGACCCGTGAGCTATCGCCAACTTCGAGATCTGGACACCGCGTAGCACGGTCGCGTTGATATATCGTCGGGCCGCCATAGATATGAGCTGCAGGAGTTACCCGCACAAAGTTTCGGTCAGACTTCCATCAGTCGCCATCAGCCCGCGGCTGCTGGTATTTTGAAATTCAGCAAAGCCCTCGATTGACCCTTTTCGTCCCTGTCAAGGTTCATAAGTGCAGTCTGCCACCGACCGTCAACTATACCTCAGGCGAAAGAGAACAGTAACATAAGCATTAGCATAAAAAAATGGCAGTGACAACAAACATTAGGGTCTCCACCTATTATTTGAAATGTAATTGATATAGTAGTAAGGTTAAAAAAAATTAGTCATAGCCAGGTTTTTAGAGAGGCATATGTTGTAGAAGAAATCAAATGGGTTTTACATATTTGCATCATGCTTAGGTGACCTATCACCAACCGGCATGCACAAAAGCTTGATATCAACATTAAGATCAATGTTCTATTAAGTATAACACAAGAGATCATACAAATGTGTCTATATATTAAAGTTTAAAAATAATAAAATATATTTTAAAATTCAATATACCAGAATAAAATCCATGTTGTGCGCATCTTCTAAAATGATCCCCTAATAGAATCAAGATGTTATTAATGTCTTTTGCCTTGAGAGTGAGATATGTCATTAAATATCCCTGAGACAATAAACTCCTTGACAATTTAGTACATGCATGTTTTGTAGTTAAAAATTATAAGAATATTGAATATGTTAAAATCTAACCTCATATTGACGAAATTAGATTGTAGATTGGCAGATTAAGGAAACAGAATAAATGCATGCAGAAACAAATAGAGATATGAACTTCTATTTAATTAGGAGTTCTACCATCAACCAAAAATATGGATAGGCATTAGGCAATTAACCTTCCAAATCCAGATCAAATACTAGAGTCAGTTATATATGAGCCTGAAAATTAACAAATCCAATTTCTGGTCAAAATTGCAAAAACTCCTAAAATTATCTTCTGTCGTCCATCATAACACATCATAGTTTCAATCAGTGGGTATAGAAACCAAAAAAACATGTCACAGACCACATCAAATTTTCAATTAGTGGGTATAGAAACCAAAACCCTCAACAGTAAAGCAACCAAAGGAAGGAGTGTAAAAGTTATACCTCTGTATGAGACTTTAAAAGTTCCAGAAGCCGGCTACGGAAAACCTTCCTCAACCACAAATTTCCTCTAAGAGATTGAGACGTGCTCTTGCTTTGGATTGCTTCAGCATTCAATAAGAGAGGACGGGGCAGCGGCATGAGGCGAGGTCCTGACGGAGGTTGAGGCAAGGTCGAGGCGGAGACGTCTAACACTTTTCCTCTCTGGCGGGCGGCGTGAACTTGAATTGAGACGAAGAAAGATCGGACGGGGCTGTGGAGTGTGAGAAGTTGAAAAAAATGGAGAAAAGAAATAAAAACCCTATCAGGATACGTCGTAAGAGCACAAGTCCTTTTGTTGAAGATTTTGGCCGGAAATATTTGTGGATGAAAAGAGAGAGATTATCTTCCCTTTTTTTTTCTCCTTTTTCCTTTTGTTGCTGCGGATCTTTTCCTTCAAATTTTGAATTAAAAAAATTAAATTGTAGAAATAGATAAGTCCAAATAAGCTGAAATCAATAAATAAAATCTTCAAAAAAATTCGAATTGATGACTGGCGGGAATATTCATTTTTTTGAACAAAAAGTTACGCATTATAGTAAAGATTTAGGCGGGAATTGAAATGTTTTTTTCCTGATTTATTCTTTCTATTTCAGGTAAATATCATTCTCTCTTTATATATTAATAGATAAATTAATAGATTTCTATATGCTTAATGATTCTTGATTATTATGTGATTGTCTTTATTATTTATGTGTAAGAATTATTAGGATTTATTCGAGTTAGAATTTAATTGTTTCGGCAATTTTGGTTCCATCACGTTGGATCGTTTCGACCCGTTTTGAGATATTTTATCCGAACCTTAGAGATGTTATTTTGGCCATTTTATTTTGTTAAAAATTTTCTTGGCTTTCAGCCCACTTCTTTTTTCCTAATGTTGGAGATATTTTCAAAATCTGTGTCACATGTTTATTTGACCGGTTCCATCTCCTTCCCCACGAGGCTCGTTGCGATTCTTCTGCTAGGATAGGTCTTTCACTCACCTCGACATAAGACTCGTTCGAGAGTCTTTCTTCATCATCAAATCGCACGTAAGGATAGATATCCCGAGTCCTGTTCTTGTTTTCCAAAATATATATATATATATATATATATATAGACGTGGCCACGGGCCGCCCAGCCCGGTCAAACCCGTTGACCACGGGCCCGAGCCCGGACCGGATTTTCGACGGGCCGTTTCAGGGTCATTGTTTCATGACCATGGCCCGGTGGGCCGGGTCGGGTCCGGGCCGATGACCCTCTTTTTTTATTTTTTATTTTTTTATATTATTCTTTATTTTTTTTCTTTAAAAATGACGACCCGGCCTTGACCCGGCACGGACCCGGACCTGGCACGGCCTAGTAAACCGGGTCATGGACCCGACACGAGCATAGGAACGTGCCGGTTCAGGGTCCATGAAACCCCACCCGGAGGCCCGGCCCGGGTTTTGGCCATGTCTATATATATCAATCGCACCTTTTTTTTTCCCGCGATTGCCACCCCGAGCAAACCAGTCGCCGGCGTTCCTTCATCATACAGCCCTCCTGCCGTCGCCGACTCACTGCTAGCAACTTCTCGCAGTCGCCCATGAGCAGCCGCCGTCCTCCGAGACGCCCGTAGCTCTGTCACCATCGTTTCCGGCGATCATCTCCGGCAATCCCGTGCATCGTCATTCGTAACCCAAGTCTCAGCGCTGTTCGATTTGATCATCTAGCAGCCTTTCATCGAGGTTCGAGAGGTTTGGAGTTTCGAGGCCCTGTTCGATCCGCCCGTTTGTCGACCGACCTCGAAAAAAGGTAATCGATCGAACCACTTTCTGCTTAGTTCCTGTGTGCTTGTGATATTTCGTTGGTTATCGTGCGTTGTTTTGAGCTTTGACGGATTATTGGTTTATTCGTTTTGTTCGTCGTATAGTTTCCGTGAAATTTTCGTGGATATCGGAACTCTCTTTTTGCCTTTTGTTATGTGAAAAATCGAGTCTTGTTGCAGCTGTGACTAATTCGTTGAATTCAGAGACTCGTTAAAATTTTTCGAGTCGTCTCGTTCGTTTATGTGTCGTGTGAGCCTTGTATGTCGTTGTTAGAGTAGAATACCTGGCGTTCCAATCTAATTGGATCTTTTTCTACTTTTAAAGACAATTTATTGGAAATTATATTATTTTGAGGCATATATTTATCTTATGTATTTGCATTTATTCTATATTTGCACATATGATAAAGTCCTTAGATCATTATTAGCTATGAGGCATGGTTGCGCATTTGATGGCAATCATGGAACATGTCTGTCATATCCCCGATGGAAGCAGAGGGAAAGGTGGCAATTTTAGGCGAGAAGGAGTCGGGAAATGCTGAAAATGAGGCGTCTTTACTGGAAACAGAGGGCAGTTTGGAGAAGTTGGCCGGAATTTTGACCGCCGGAGGTGATTTGGGGTTTGAAGGTCGTGAAGGAAATGAAGCAGGTTTGATTGACAAGAGTAATTTAGGGTCGGGCAAAGAGGAGCTGGGCTCCATCATTGGGCCTTATTGCAAATAGGGATTAGTGGCATGCCTTTGGGCTTTATCTTTATTTACCCTTATTTTATATATATATGTTTTTAGTGTTGGGTTAGATCTTTCATTTAGCCCATTCTAGTAATAGCTAAGGTTTAGTTTGTTATGTTTGGGACCCACGTTGGGGTATTTGTATCCAGTTTGTTGAGGTGAAAAAGGTAAGAAATGAATTAACAGAATCTTTCCCCCTCCTCTATTCTCTCTCCTCCTCTATTCTTTCTTCCTTCCCAATTCATCTTCATATTCATTACATAAAATTACAGCAAAACTATAATATGACCTATATCTAGTTGTGAAGCCACAAGAGCCTAACAATGTCTTTAAAGCTGTGATCTTAAATAAGTTCCAAGTCGATGGTTGTTTCGAGACGGGACATCGAATAACCCGGTAAGACTTGTGCATATGATGTATGCTCATCAGATGAGAATGTTGCATTCCATCAACATTAGCGTGTGGAAGTGAATGCATATATGCGGGTGCTTGTTGGAGAACAAGTTCACTGAACATGGCCCGATGAAAATTCTTAACTGGAAGTTTTTAACTGTCGAATAAGAATTTTCATGGTGCAATAGTACATGATTGATCCTTTGACTTAAGGCACGATAGTAATCTTGTGCATGTTGTGCTTTACTTTGATTTATCCTTTGATTGCTGGACAATCACAAAAGGGATATTTTGGGTACTGTATTAATATATACGGAGGTTTATCTGTGGCCAACAAAGAATTCGACACTTATGTGGATAAGTGAATTTCCTATGTTTTTCATAGTTTATGATTCAAAGACCTTGGCCAAGGCGAGATGAATATGGATTCATAAAGGAATCACTAAACTTGAAATTGAATCATAGTTATTAAATCAATTGGGTTTCGACTTATAAATCCATGCCCAAGATTTAATCGGGAAATTAGTTGCCGAAAGGATTTTACATGTATGCAATTGCAATTGAAAAAGTTTTACTCGCTATTTCACTTAACACTAGATAATCATGCTACTTGCTAGGTGTTCCCATAATTTGTGGGTTCTTGAAATTAAGGAGTTACTTTCAAGAATATGAATTAATTAGATTAATTTAAATTACAAACGAGTTGTAAACCCACTACTAATGTTAATCGTGAACCTAAAAGGGTCACACCAAATTTTGGATGATGACAATTTTGAAATTGGTATTTCTAATAGTTGGATTAATTGACATTAATTAAATAATTTGATTATTTAATTAAATCTAATTTGATTAGATGTCAATTAAAGGAATATAATAAATTAATTAATTGAATTGATTAATTAGACTTTGGATATTAATTAAGTAATTATTGGAATTACTAAATTAATAGTTGGATTTTAAAATTGGACTTAAATTCAAATCCAAATATTAATATGATTATATATTAAAATCTTACATAAAGAGGAGATTTTTATTTTACATGGGAGATAAGATTTTGACCAATTAATTTAGAAAGTTGGTTTCATATGGGTCATTATCTTGAATTATTTTTTCTTAATCTTTAATTGAGATTAAAGATTAAAATTAAAAAAAAATATATATATGAAATGATGATGAGTGGAGCCATCACTCTCATCTCCATCTCATTCCATCTCATTCCATCTAATATACATATTTAAAATGTTGTTTGTTGGGGTGGATCACCAATAATATTTTTATATTAAATGTGAATTTGATATAAAAATAAAAAATAAAAATGAGATGGACTTCATGAGACTTGATATAAAAACAAGTTCTCATATAATGAGTATGATGCATATGAGAGAAAGTAGTTCTCGGCTTTTGGAAAAAGCACTCCCACATTTTGTAGAGAGCATATGATGCTCAAGACAATTTCAAATAAAAAATATTCTCCTCTTTTATTTGATTTAAAAATATCAATTGAATTCCAAAAAATTTCTACTAGTGGAAAAATTGTTCTCGGAGTCGGAATCCAAATGGGTGGACTCGATTAGAGGGGAGACACTTGGATCTCTTAAGGAGTAAGAAGACGGTGATAGCCACATAACCGGGAATTGATTTCCTCTTCATCGTCGCTATTTCAAGAAAATTAAAGGCAATTTCCGAAATTCTCTACAAATCAAAATTCGTATTTTTACGTGATTTTAAAAGATGCAGATCATTTTATTCGCTACATGTACCTACGGATTAAGTATTTATTTGATAAATAATAATTATATTGTATAATTTCCGCTGCGATTTTAATCCGTACAGTTTAATGAACCCAACAGTGGTATCAGAGCCACGGTTTGCATCTTTAAAATCAGATTTTGATTTGTTTATGTTTACGTGATAAACATATTTAATTGTTAAATTATACTATTTTGGGTGTGATATAAGTGTTGTATATAATTTGAATTTTGGGATTATTGATATAAATCAATCTGTTGGTGCGACTTAGTATACCTGTCAAGGGAATATTGATTCTCTGTTAGCCAAATCAATTTTGATTTATTTGTTAAATAAAAGGGTTATTAAAATGTTTAATAAAGTAGGCCGCCCCACATCTTTCCTTATCAAATTTTTGGAAAGTTACTGATGATTAAGTTCTGGTGGGACGAGATGAATGCGTCCCACACCTCCCTTTTATTTTTATAAATAAAAAAAAAAAGAGTTTTGCAAATCGGTGTATTTGCTGGACATGTATATACCTGATATACATTAATTGAGCCTTGTCTTTATTTGTACAATGATGAATCAATTGATTCTAGTTATATTTTTCAAAGTGGACGAATCACCATCTCACATGTTGTGTTATTTAAAAAAAAAAAAAAACTTTGTTAATGGATGTGGATCCATTTCATTTATTTGTTCTATTAAAAAAATAAATAAATATAATATGTGGATGGATATGTCTGCCACACCATGTGTAAAGACGGTGAATGCAAATGCGGTTTGCAATAGTATTTTGTAGCACAGATACAAAATGGTTTGTAATATACATTAATATAATTTTTATATTAAAAAAAATTATTTATTCAAGTTTAGATTTAAAAGTTAAATCTAAATTATTTAGATTAAGTATTATGAATTGTTAAATCTATTTAATCCCAAAATTAAATCAACACACATAATTTGATAAATTTATATGCTTTTAATTCATGTGATGAATGTTTTTAGCATATATATTTAGGAATGATCATGAGCCTTTTATTCAATATGATTGAATGTTGTAATTTATCGAGATCTGCGAGTCTCTTATTCAATAATTTGTATAATTTTAAATTATTGCATCGAGAGTAGATTAGATCAGGTTGAAGACCGTTCGATGCAAAAGGCCCACACTTGTGTGGGTAATTTTACAAGTTGTAAATTTTGAAGGCCGTACTTGTACGGGTTGATAAAATAAAATGTAATAGAAGTAGTTCTATTTATTTTATCCCGTATATAGGCATAGACCCATTTTTGGCTCGAATGGGTCGAATAGGCATGGCCGTGATCATCCCATCGCTTTCTGCATATGATGCATGCATGGTTTATTTTTCT